GGATTGCTCAGTGCAGGGCACCAGGGATGGCAGTGCAGGATGGAGCTGGCACAGCAGGATTTGGGGCTCTGGTTCCCCAGGGGAACGGGGCAGAGCCCCTGCCCTGCTGAGCCCGGGGCGATGCCGGCGCTCCCGGGGCTGCCTCTGTTCCCGGCCCGTCCCCTGACGGTCCCTGTGCTCTCTCCCAAGGTGTGTGGGGCGTTTCTCTCCTCCGACTGGAGCGAAAGGAAGAAGAACGGAGTCACATCGGGCTTTTTTGGGACAGGAGAGTGCTTTGTGTTCACTGTAAGTCACGGATTATGGCGGGGTCTGTCCCTTCATTGCTGTCCTGCCAGGACACCCTGTCCCTTCCCTGCCCCAGGTGCGGACCTGGACGCAGCGCTCGGCCCCAACCCACCCAGCAGCAGCAGCAGCAGCATCTTCCCGCAGCGCTGCGAGGTGTCCCAGGGCCGGGGCTCACAGGTGTGTCCCGATGCCCAGGTGCGCCCCGAGGCAGAGAGATACGAGTGGGTGTTCATCAAGAAGCCGGAGCTGGCCAAGGCCGTGCCCCGCTCGCCTTCCCCCGCTCCCGAACCCCGGCTCAGCCCCTCCCGGGACAGCCGCAGCCCCAGCCCCAACCACCTCGCCGTGCCCTCGCCGCAGAGGAGAGGCCGCCTGTCCCCGTTCCTGGCCATCAGGCACTTCCTCCTGCCCTCCAAAACTGCCTCCATGTTCATGGCCGGCTCCCGGGACGGGATCGTTATCGGTAAGGGAGGTCGGGATCGGGTAAGGGGGGTCTGGATCGGTAAGGGGGGTTCGGGATAGGTAACGGGGATCCTTATCGATAAGGGGGAATCGTTATCGATAAGGGGGATCGATACCCGTGATCGATATCTGTGAACGGGACCACTATCAGTAAAAGGGATCGATATTGATAAAGGGATCGCTATCTGTAAAAGGGATCCATATCGATAAGGTGATCGCTATCTGTAAAAGGGATCCATATCGATAAGGGGATCGATGTCCATGATCGTTGTCGGTCCCTCCCCAGTGTCGCATCCCCCGCCCGCCGCTGCCGCGCTGGGAAGGACCCGCTCCGGGTTAAACCCCGAGTTTTCCCCAAAGAGCTCCCGGTTGGGGATCTCGGGTTCAAGTCTGGGAAGGCGAGTGCAGCCCCCCCTTCCTCCAGTCCGGGGAACCTCCCGAGAGCCCCAAGGGGAGCCCCGCACCCCAAATCCTGGCCAGGTTCACAGCCCGGGGCCGGAGCGTCCCTTGGCGGGTCAGGAACCCCCGCAGGAACAGCCCCGGAGCGGTGTCAGGACGGGACAAGGGACAGAGAGCGAGGGGCCGGGGCAGCCGGGCCCGACCCTGCGCTCGCTCTTGCAGGTGGAGGGGGAGGCCAAGCCCTGTCCCTGGACGCCAGCCTGCTCTGGGGACACACGGAGCACTGCGAGACCTTCGACAACCCCCCGCTCTGCCAGGAGAACTTCCAGGTGCAGCTCTTGGAGGTGTGGGGCTTTCAAAGGGCGTAGTTCCCGTGGGGACACCGCTCGTGTGCCACCCACGGGCACGGGGAACCCTCCCCGCGCTGGCCACTCCGGCCGGGCTGTGGCCACCTGTGCGGCAGCTCCATCTCCATCGTCCCCTCCGCGGTCAGACCGGACCAGAACAGACCAGACCGAACCAGATCAGACCAGATCAGATAGGATCGGATCGGCCCCGTGGGGCTGTGGAGAGAGGGCGAGGCAGTGCCAGGACCGGGACTGCGGGCGCTGCCCTTGGGGACATACGAGGTCCCCTCCCACAGTTCAGACCCGGCCCACTCCACCCAGTCTGTCCCAGTTTGGGGTGCTGGAGGGGAGGGCAGCCAGTCTGGAGTTTCTCACACCTCCCTGGCCTGTCTGCAGCGTGGGACTCAGCAAAGCAGTGACAGCACGGGCAGATTTTGTGGGAATTCCGAGCCCAGACAAAACCCCACACTGAGCTCCAGGGCTCACCAGAAACGCTCTCAGATTCGCTTCCCCTGGCCCCAAGCCCAGCACAGCCCTTCAAGCCACCCACGGAGCTCTGCAGCCCCCGTGGGTATCCAGGACTGCTCGGGATCCACCAGCACCGGGAGGGACTCTCCTTGTCCCTGGCTGGAAGTGCTGCTGGTGGTGGCAAAGCCCTGCCTGGAGTTTGTGGGGTGCAGCCACAGCCCCGAGGGGACCCCACGTTTGGGCTGAGCCCTTTGCTCTGTCCCCAGCCCAGGGCTGGCGTGAGGCTGCAGGGCTGGACACGGAGGAGATTCCCCAATGGATCACCAGGATGGGACATTTGAAGGTGGAATGGGACAGGACACAGGGAATGGTTCCCACTGCCAGAGGGCAGGGCTCGATGGGATCTGGGGAAGGAATTCCTCCCTGTGAGGGTGGGCAGGGCTGGCACAGGGTGCCCAGAGCAGCTGTGGCTGCCTCTGGATCCCTGGCAGTGCCCAAGGCCAGGCTGGACATTAGGGCTGGGAGCAGCCTGGGACAGTGGAAGGTGTCCCTGCCATAGCAGCGGTGGCACTGGATGGGCTTTCGGGTCCCCCCTGACCTAAACCTTTCTATCATTCCATGGCTTCTGTGTGTTCAGTGCTGCCCCTGGTCAGAGCTGTCAGAGCTCACGGCACTCCCTGCCTTCGCTGTGCTGAAAGGGACCCTGAAAGGGATCCTTTCTTCTTGCTTCTTATTCCACTGCTGAATAAAGTTCAAAACTCTTGGAGAATTAAAAAAAAAAAATCCAGTACAAAGGGTGGGGGAGCAGTGGGGCCAGGAGGTGGAGGGGACATGTGATGGGGTATAAAGAGATCTGTGTCCTGCTCTCACTTCCCTGCAGAGGGTCAGCACCCCAAACCCTCACCCTGTGTCCCCACGGCACCCCAGCCCCTCACCCCGTGTCCCCATGGCACCCCAGCCCCTCACCCTACAGCCCTAGGGCACTCCAACCTCTCACCCCTTGGCCCATGTCCCTTGACTAAGGGTCTTCACTGAAATCCAAGGAAACTTCAGCCCCTGTGTGCTCTGAAAGGAGCCCAACATCCATCAGCTCATCCCTTTGGGGCGTTTCTGCTCCTTGTCCCCACAAAAGTGTTCTTAGAACAGCCAGAGGCCCGCCTGGCTCACTCCTGATCCCTGAGCAGGATTCTGGGCTCCTTTGGAACATGGAGCTGCCAGTGCTAGAACAAGAAGAGCAGCCCAGGAGTGGCTCTGAACAGTGGGGAATTAATGAATGGACAATCCCATCCTGCAGATCTGGGTCATCCCCTGCCCTGCCAGAGGTGAGGGACAGTTGGCCACTGGCTTGTAACAAACATTTCTACCAAAAGCACATTTTGTGCCGTTCAGACCTGATTTCACTGGAGCTCTGGGGGTGCTGTGGATGTCCTTGTCCTCCTGAGGGCTGCGTTTGGAAATTTTCAGACTTTCACACGAGGGGGGCAGAGCAGAGGTTCTGCATTGGCTCCCATGGTGCAGTTACACTGTAACAGAAAATGGCTCAAAGTGTCCCAAACCATTCCTTTCGCATCCCAGAACTGATTCCCACAGGGGCTGTCCCTAGGAAAAGAAGAGTCCACTGATGATTTGAGGTGAGGGGAGAGGAGACTTCACAGGCAGTGCCTCCAACCTCCTCCTGCTGCCTGCAGCAGACATTTTGGTTAAAGACACGATTCGGGAGCAGACAAACGCTCACCTTCCCTCCCTTCTCTTCTCCCTTCCTTCCTCCCTGCCCTCTTCCCTCGCTCTCACCAAATGTAGCTTCCAGAGCCTTGAAATGGGAAATCCATCAGGTCCAGCTTGTTCTTGACGTCAGGGAGAAAGTCCCGGTACGTTTTTATCTCCCACCACTGTCAGATCCATTTTCATCCTTCCCATTTCCCTTTCCCAGCTCTGTGCAGTGATTCCCCTCCCACCTACCTGCTGCAACACAAACAATTCCTTGTCACTACACTGTCACCAGCTCCTCGTGGAACTCATATTTAATGGCTGATGGCAGAAATTTCTGGCTGTAGCAGAGCCTTCAGTGCCACAGAAGGGGTTTTGCAGGTGGTTTTTTTCCAGTCAAACCCGTAGCATTTATCAAAACAAACGTGTTTCCATCCTTGTTTCTGCACAATTTAGTCCCTGGAATTTTTAACCCTGGGAGAAGAGTTGATTTTATTTTCCTCCTGCAGAGCTGGGTGATTCCACAAGGCATCTTTGGACTTTTGCTTGGAAATGCAGCAGATACTGGGACTCGTATGGAAAATTCCCCCTCTGGTGCCCTGCAGAGCAGAGCTGCCCTGGGCTCAGCAGGGTCTGGCAGCCTCAAAAGGGATTTAGGGATGGGCACTGCCTGTCCCGAGAGGGAATTGCCCCTCCCTGGAAGGAGCTGGGCCATGCAGCTGCCCCTGCTGGGACTCTCCCTCCTCCCTCCCTGGGGGATTGTTTTCAGCACTTCGTTGTAATTTATCTGAAAAATACAATCCCAGAATGGTTTGGGTTGGAGGGGATCTCAAAGCCCATCCAGTGCCACCCCCGCCATGCAGAGACACCTTCCACTGTCCCAGGCTGCTCCAAGCCCTGGGACACTTCCAAGGATCCAGGGGCATTCCAAAGATGTGTTCTAGTGAACAAACATCACCCTTTATCCCTAAAACCTTGCTCACACTGGGAATTATGAGCTCCTGGCTCTCCATGAAACTCTAACCCTGGAATCCACAGCCCCCGTGAGGAGTTTCTCTTTAAAGAGTTTAGCTCTGCTGGGGGATGGGAAGATGTTTATTGACAATAAGTTGGGTCAACCTTAAAGGAATTCTGCCTTTAGATGTAGGAGAACGTGTTTATTCCCTCAGCCTAATCAGAAGATTCCTTTGTTTCTGTTTTGAGAAGGAGTGGCAGAACACTTCAGTGGGGTGATGATGATGCTCCTTGTTTTCCACCTACATGGAATTATCTGTGCTTGCATTTCTGTGAGCTCTAGAAGTACTGGGATAAACAACAAGAATCATTTTGATCCCCGTCACAGCTGAGCAGCTCCAAGGCTGCTGAGGCAAAGGGGTATGCACCGCTGGAAATGCATTTCCAGAAAAGGTTGATTTGCACTGAAAGAAAATTAAAAGATATATTTAAAGGAGGTGAACTGGAAGAGTTCACAGGAGATCAGAGCAGGACAAAGAGCAAATATTCCTGCAGGGGAAGGGGTGGGCAGGCAGGGTTTCTGATGGTGTTTTTATTTATAATCACACTTCAAAGCATTGGGTTCTTGCTGTAAGGAGTAAATAATGAATGGAGATATTTTTAACCTCCTACACAGACTCTGCGTTTCATCTGCGAGAGGTCTGGCAGCAGCCAGAGCATTAATGGAGCTGCAGGGATAACGAGAGCAACCTGAACATCTCTGTTTACTCCAGGGGACTCAAAGCATAGCCTGGGTAGGACAGAAGTACAATTATGGAGTTAAAGTGGAAATCAAACCCTGGGGAACCCTGTGGGGCCAGGCTGGGAGAACTGGGGGTGTTCACTTGAAGAAGAGAAGGCTGCAGGGAGCGCTCAGAGCCCCTTCCAGGGCCTAAAGGGGCTCCAGGAGGCACTTGGGATAAAGGCTGGAGGGACAGGACACAGGGAACGGCTTCAGACTGACACAGGGCAGGGCTGGATGGGATATTGGGCAGGAATTGTTCCCTGGGAGGGTGGGCAGGCCCTGGCACAGGGTGCCCAGAGCAGCTGTGGCTGCCCCTGGATCCCTGGCAGTGCCCAAGGCCAGGCTGGACATTGGGGTTGGGAGCAGCCTGGGACAGTGAAAGGTGTCGCTGCCCCAGAAGATGTTTGGAACTGGATGGGCTTTGAGTCCCTTCCAACCCAACCTGTTATGGGATTCCATGATTTCATGAGCCTGGCACTGAATCCTGTCCAGTTCTAGGTAGTTTTCTTAATAATCATCTATTCCCTCTCAAGGTGAAAAACTGAAGAAAATTCCTTGGAAAAATCACAGCAGCCTTTGCAGTGCTGCAAGCCCTCTGATTTATCAGCAAGAGCAGGGAGCTTTAACCAGAGAAATTCCATAGCCAAAGGTTTGATTTCTGGTCCCACCACCTGCCCCAAACGCTAAGGTCATGGCAGGGGGAGACTTTTCCAGGGAAAACTGCAAAGCTCCAGATCAAAAGCAGCTGATGGGACTATGTGTCTTGGTTTGAAAGACAGGTATGGTCTAAGGAAAGGCAGGAGCCC